CTTCTTGCGAATTAAAAAATATAAATAACAAAACACAAAATAAGTTATAAAATGCTACAAACGCGAACATTTTATTATTGTTAATATAAAATTTTCACTTTAAAATTCAAAGATAAAAATTTGTTACGAAAAAACTTTTTATCAAGTTTTCTTCCATTTTTAATAACTTGAATATTTTTTTCACACTATTCAATTCTTTTTTTCATGTCTATTTATTTTCCATACAGCTATTAATTTTTTTCTCAAAAACGCTAATAATTCCTTTTATTAACAAATCTTTAACTCTAATAATTCTCAATAAAGACTTTTTTTTTTTTTCCTTTTTGTGTCCTTTTTTTGTCATGTAGGTAAGCTGGTAATAGTTCTGCATCCAACTTTTTTTCTTTTATTTTATCCTCTACGTTTACTACCTGATTTATTTACTTTCCATAAATTACATTTTTAATTTATTAAATTATCATTCAATGAATTTGCTAGAGTAATGAAAAATAAATTATTAAAAAGAATATGGAGTTTCCTCTAGTAATTAAAGGGATTTTAAATCTAATATTAATGTATAAACAAATAAACTGCAATAATGCGGTTCATTGTGAATTTACTTTAATAAAAATTATGTATTTTTATTAAAAACATATATTCTCATTAATTATTAATTTTTATGTACAAAATAATTATTGCTTTTTATAAGTAATTTTCAGCAATTTTAGTTCACTGCTTTTAAAAATAATAAAAATACTTAAAAATAAAAAGAAAATTTTAATTATATTAATAACACTTAACGAAAATTTTATTCTTAAAAATTAAAAAATATTCACATGAAATTTCTTCTTTCTAAAAAATTTTTCTCATTTAATTTTTTTTTTTTTTAAGAAATAAAATATATCTCTATAAAAAAAATTTAAACAAAATATTAACTTTTCTTTTTTTTAGCTAGAACATGTGCATGAATAATCCTATATTCTCTGTTAAACCATTATTTTTTATCATCGTAAATTTTTTCAATCTTATGAAAAATTAAATGTTTCATTAAATCAAATTTCTTAAAATTTATTTTTTTTTTTCTCTTCTCATTCTTAGATTCGGATGCTGTTTCATTATCTGTCATCTCTTTCTTAGATTCGGATGCTGTTTTATTGTCTATTATCTCATTCTTAGATTCGGATTCTGTTTTATTGTCTATCATCTCTTTCTTAGATTCGGATGCTGTTTTATTGTCTATCATCTCTTTCTTAGATTCGGATTCTGTTTTATTGCCTATCGTTTCTTTCTTAGATTCTGATTCTGTTTTATTGTCTGTCACCTCATCCTTAGATTCGGATTCTGTTTTATTGTCCGTCATCTCATTATTAGATTCGGATTCTGTTTTATTGTCTATCATCTCTTTTTTAGATTCGGATTCTGTTTTATTGCCTATCATCTCTTTCTTACATTCGTCTATAAATTGCTGAAATTCTGAGAAAAGTTTATGCACAACAGGAAAAATTAATTCTTTTTTTTCTTCTTCTGAAATATCTTGTCTATGATATATTGAAGACAGATCATTAACTTTGTCAGCGGAAATTTTATTCCATTCATTATTCCATTTTTGGTCTCTCCAATTAGGGTCCATTTCACTTGTTTCTTTATCAAATTGCTCCCGCAATTTTGGAGTAACGACTTTATTCCAATGATCGTACGGATTCTCGTATCGAACTGGATTTTTACACTTGTTTTTTTTATTACCTAATGGACTTTCCTCTATGCATTCCTTAGCGTATGTTTGCTTTTTTCCTGATATGTCACCCTCTGCTAATACTCTTTCATATTTTAACTTATTTTTTGTTTGCAATATATTTTTATCAACCAATGTTTTATTGGAATCAAACTATGGATTAAATAAAAATTTTTTAAAAGAATGTTTCTTTTGTTAGAATAGAAAATCAAATGAAATGTTAAAAATAATTAAAATAAAATATATCTATATGTATATTTTTGTAAAAATTTTAACTTACGTTATAAAAACATTGATACATCCATATTAAAAGAAGGAATATAGTATTTCTTAAATATAAAGATAACGTATTCATATTAATATATTTATAGAATAATATTGAAGTGGAAGTTGTTAATTCAAGTGTAAAATTGTTTCAATTTTCAATAATACTAAATTATGGATTTGTAATATTAATTTAAATATTATTATAACTTCTATTAATTTCTTAAATTTTTAAAATAGAAAATTATTTTTATATAGGAAAGGTAATTTCTAATTTTTTATTATTACATATGACATTATAGTTACACTAGATAGGAATAATATTCTTAATTCTTTAAAAAATAAAATAAGAATGTTAATTAACAAATAAATAAAAAATATAATAAATCGGATAAAATTATTTTAAAAATATTTTATTAATATTTTATTTATCTTTAAATTATGTAAAAAAATAAAATATTTTTAATTTAATGCACATAAAAATTATAAATGATATACATTTAATATTAGAGGATTTTTTTAATTTTTTTTTTCTAAATTACCAATCTCTGTGAATTATGTCGAACTTTAAATTATTTTATATACGGTATATTATGATTTATAAATATAAATCTTCGTATATTATAGATATATATCTATCAAAAAAAGAAAAAAAAACTCTATAAATTAAAAATTTTTATGCGCATGTATCTTTCATACAGTATACTACATTTGTGACAATTTTTCATTTATATAAAACTAATTTTTGTTTGTGTATATTTTTCTTTTAAATATAACTTTTTTGATTTTTCTAATATACGTTTTTTTATCTTAATTCTTTTTTTTTTCTTTTTATTATTGATAAATGTTTATACAATATATGTATATATTTACTTATTATTATAACTATTTTTTAAAAAAAATTACTTTTTCAATTATTTGAAAAAAAATAAAAAAAATTTATTAAGTACTTAAATTCAAAAGAAAAAGTGAAGATAGGTATTTATTTTTAAGAAATTATAATTAAAAATCTTATAAATAGCGCATTTAAAAGTTATATAAATTAATTACAATTTAAAAAAAAAAAAAAAATGCTATTTTTTTAATAACATATTTAAAGTAAAAAATATTTTTTAAAAGAAATTATTTTTTTTGACAAAATTGCTTTATTCTAATAATATAATTCTGTAAATTTACTTTTTTACTAGTAATACTTATTAGTTTCAATTTTAATATAAATATTATTTACTGAATATAAAAATATATCTTTAGTTAAATGTAATAGATTTTTTCTTATAAAATTCAAAAGAAAGTATTTTTATCGTGATATAAAAAATATCAATAAATAAAGATAAAACAAAATTATTAAATAACTTTTTGTATATATATTATTATAATCTTCTAATTAAATATAAAAAAAATAAATTTTTTTTTTTTTTTTTACCTTTACATATTTATTTGATAAGTGTTTATTATTATTACGATATGTTTATTTTCTTTTTTATTTTTAGTTTTATATATTTATAGCACAATTTTTTATTATTCATTTTACCTACGGAATTTATGTAAATCATTTATATAGTATAAATGAATTCAACAATTGTCCCTTTCAAATATAACTTTTTTCTTAAAAGTTTAAATTTAATAAGACATCTTTGTAAATATTAATGGTGAATTTTAATAAGAATTATTACTTTTTAAATTTAATTTGTTAGAAACTTTGACGTATTATTAATGAAAAGTGGTGTGTATAAATACTATTATTTTTAATATTTTAACACTAATTTTTCTCTAAGAAATAATCATAAGTTTAATAAAAGTTCATTTTTTATGATTTATATTTTTTTTAATGTTATATGTAGAAGTTGTTATTACAAGTAAAAATATTTAAAATATAAAAGTGTCTTACATTTAACATAGATATTAAAATAATTTGAATAGATTGTGTATTGCAGATATAGGAACATAAATTATCCAAATGATAATTCGTGAAGTATTAAAATGATTATAATTATTATAAATAAGATAATATTCCTAAGGAAAAGAAATTTTTTATAGCTCTGATTTATTAATGGCTGTTAAATTACTTTTCTCGTGTCAAAGAAATAAATTAATAAGGAAAATGTAGTGTAAACTTTACTTAATTTTAATATAAATTTTTTTTTTTTTAATAAACATTAAATATAACTAATTAATCAATTATTTTCTTTTTAATATAAGCAATACTCCAAAATGTAATTTCCTTAATATTACATTTTAGCTTAAAATAAAAATATACATTCTATAGTAGTTTGCACATTATCATTCAAAAAAAAAAAAAAAAAACTAATTTTTTTTCTTAAGATTATATTTTTTTTTTTTATAATAAAAAAAATATCATCATAATATATATTTTTTTTTTAAGTGCACTCACATTAAGTGCAAGTAAATATATACATATATTTTTTGTTTACATACCTTTTGAATATCTATTTTAGAGCAGACATTTATGATAGCAGATTGTCCTTTTGAATTAGCATGCACAAAATAAAATGTTTTTATTCTATTTATTTGTGTAAATATTATATGAAGAAGGTCAATGGTATTGTTTATAGAGCTATGTATAACTGGTTAATAAAAGGCTTCATTAACCTTTTTGGTTATAAAAAGGACTATCTATGTGATTTATTAACTGGGTGTTCGGAGACTTTGCTAGAGTACTGAACAAACCAATTAATAAAGAGCATGTAGAGATGACTCTACGATTTTCTTATACTTATGTATATTTTTATATGCTTTGAACGAATGATCTTTAATCATAAACTACTTCGTTCAGCATTCTTTTGCTTCAATAAATATTTATTTACTTTAATAAATAAATCCTTATTTTATTAAAAATTTAAATACTTATTTGACATTAACTATTAATTGATTATAATTATTAGTTAATTTATTATGACTTATATTCAGCAATCATTTTATATTGCTATCGAATTAACAAAACACAAATACTTATTAAAAATGCAAATAAATGATATGAATATTAATTACATGAAAATTTTATCTTCATATGTATAAATTTTCTCTCACAAATTCAAAATAAAAATATTATGCAAATTAAACGCTTTACAAAAATATCATTATCTTCTTGTAAAAAAAATCTCCCTCTCTGATTGTTCTTCTTTTTTCCAAAAAAAATAAATTAAATCTTTTTTTTATTTTATTTTTTTTTTTTCTTTATCTTTTTCGAAAGAAACATTTCTCAAAAAAAATTCCAATAATTTTTTTTTTTTTTTTAGTTAGCACAACTAACTATGTATTCTCCACATAGCTAGTCCTTTTATAGCCAAAAAGGTTAATGAAGCTTTTTATTAACCACTATGTGAAGAATACGTAGTTGGTTTTGCTAGCTAAAAAAAAAAAAGATATTTATTATTTTTTTTATATGATATATTCAGAGAGGAAAAGAGAAAATTGGTAAAATAAAAATCGGGAGTAAGAATTAGTACCAATAAGAATGAGATTTTAAAAAGATAATAATGTTTTCATAAAAGAGCTTAATTTGCATAATATTTATATTTTGAATTTGTGAAAGAAAATTTTATACATATAAATTTTATAAATGTTAAATACCTTTTTTTATGTGAAGGAATTCATATTCTTTTATATAACATGAAATATAAATATTATGGAAAAAATATATATACAAGT